CTCGTCACAACGAGCAGGGCTGAGTTGACAAACCTTTGAAAGCCGAATCATGTGATTGGCACGTGAGGTTTAGACTCACTCCAACAGATTTGTGACTCACTCCAACAGATTTGTGACTCACTCCAACAGATTTGTGACTCACTCCAGCAGATTTGTGACTCACTCCAGCAGATTTGTGACTCACTCCAACAGATTTGTGACTCACTCCAGCAGATTTGTGACTCACTCCAACAAATTCGTGACTCAGCTTAATAGATTTGTGACTCACTCCAACAGATTTGTGACTCACCTTAACAGATTTGTGACTCACTCCAACAGATTTGTGACTCACTCCAACAGATTTGTGACTCACTCCAACAGATTTGTGACTCACTCCCAACAGATTTGTGACTCACTCCCAACAGATTTGTGACCCACTCCAACAGATTTGTGGCCCACTCACCTTGTCGAGAACAGAGTCGTCCCACCCAGCTGCACCGGGCAGCAGTTGGTCGCAGTAGAGGGCAGGGTTGACGCGGAAAAGCTTAGAGTAACCCAAGAGGCCCCACCCGAGGTCTAATCTGGATAGCTCTTGGCACGTGTGCGCTTGTGGATTGAGAATATGATGAGTCATGCAGGCCGCCACCGGGAACGAGCGGGTGCGGGTGTTGTTCAGTACACATATGCGCTGCACGGAGGAGAGGGAAGGTGGGGGGGGGAAGGGGGGAGAGAGAGACGAGGAGGGGGAGGGAGAGTTTGGTGTTGAGGCGCCTTAAGACATGCTTGAGTCACAGAGGTGGCACTGGGAAGGTGGGGCTCGTGCCCAAGTTGGCTTTTCAGAATCAGTTGTCATACCATGAATATCTAAGGGTTCTTGGAATAAGCTAACAAGCTGTTGAGGCGATTCAAGAAACAAACATTTACGCTGACACTTTCTCAGAACTGCCTAACAAGCTGGTGAGGTGATTTAATGAAACCAAACAGCTTATCATTTCGCCTTTATCTCTCGGCTATTGTATTACCTACACGCGCAGTAGGGAAAGAAAATACTGGACACTGTGGCATGGTAGAATTGCCATGGTAACGCTTGCCAACATGAGTGGGAAAAGGAGCTCAGAACTGCACAAAAGAAGGTATCAGGCATCTGGACCGGGAAGGAATAGGGATGGATCTGGGAAGGGGCTAACCTTTCCAGGAACGAGAGGTTGTGAGCAGTCAATGTTACGGTTTAGATCTGTTATGTTGGTGTTAAGGATGCTGTTGACTGAAGCACACGTGTCACCCTGGGGTGGGTGGGTGGGGTGGAGGATGGGTTCTTGTGAGAGTGAGATGGAGAATGGGGGAGATACAAAGTCAATAACACGTTGGGCACGATTCCGGTCTGACGCGTTGGGAATACAGAGTGTGTTTGGTTGGCGTGTACGTGTCGCTGCAATTCAACGCATGGGTGTGTGGCGGGCAGGGGGGAGTAGAAGACATGCAGGAACCCCATGTATCGTCAGTTCATCTTTTTGAGCTCTCAAATTTCGTCAGTCTGCTCATCAATACAGATGAGTCACTCTAGGGTGTGTGAGAGAGGCTGGAAAGGGGAGGGGCGCATGTGTCAGGTCAGAGTGCAAGAGAAAGAAGAAAGGCAGCCGGTCAACAGGCATTAGTCAGTCCTTTGATCAACAACTGACCAGGTTTCACCCTCACCAGACACAACCATGGCCTCACCTGGTGGGTGGTGCACATGCCTCACCTGGTTTTGAGGCGCCTCAAAACTAGACTTCTCTCACGCGGATTATATGTAGATAGGATTTTTTTTGCTTGGAAATTGGGATGTAGCTTATCAAGGCTACTGGTGCGCGCGCGACTCTCGAGTTTGCGAAGTGGCGAAGATGCAGGCCCTGTTACTCACGAAGACACTGCCGAGGAATGAAGACGTGGCTCCTTGGACTTTCCAGGGCAGCCTGGATTGGTCCCCATCTTTTTGGGTTGACCAGGGTGAAGATAGCGTAGAAATTTGTACATTCGGTGGTTAGCCTTTCTTGCTTTGCTTTAGAAGGCTAGTCCTCGCTCTCATTCTTTCATTCGGCACTGAGGAAGGCTTGCTAGGGGCTTCCCTACAGCCGAAACATGTTTGTCCGTGTTTTAGCCACTGTTTAGTGAAGAGCTTCGTTTTCACATAACCCTACGTGATCTGCTAGGATTTTACTACAACTGTTTTCTCCTTTGCTAAACCTTCTCCCTTAAACTGCTGCTCACTGGAATGTCTCTTAATCTGCCTCACCTGGTTGGTGGTGCACATGCCTCACCTGGTTGGTGCTGTTCATGCTTGTGAAAAGGGCACCCATTCGTGCCTCACCTGGTTGGTGGTATACATGCTAGTGCAGGTCTTGTTAGCAGATGCCGACACGTTGACTATCAACCCACGAGGTATGGGCTTGTCACATGCCATGCCCTGCCGATCAGAAGAGCCACAAAAGAGAATAACTCACCATGAAGCCAATTGACAGATTTCATGGGAAAGCCGGAACATACCATCATCAGTAATAGAGTGATTGGGCACGCATACGAGGGTGAAGCACATAAGCGTGAGGACCCCTGGGACCTCACGTACGTGTATCGGTCGGAACATAGCATCATTAATAAAGCAAACGGGCACTCATATGAGACTGAAGATCACAGGTCTCGTTTCACGATCCAAAACATGACGAGTCCCTGGATTCTATATAGTGCTTTTATGAGGATGTGGAGAAATAAAATATTATCACAAAAAAAATAGAGAGAAAAACAGAACATGGTGTAAGCAAGGCGACGATATGAGTGCCTGAAGCTACAACAATTGGACATGGTATCAATGTCGATTCAAGCATAATCATGCAGTAAAACCCTTAAAAAAAGGAGCAGTTTCCAAACAGCACGATTCGTCCGTGAAACCTACTGGTGTGACGTGAAGTGAAGTACAAGATTTTCCAGAACATACATAAGAAATTATTTCTCCTAGAAAACAACCTTAAAAATGTCTCCTGTTCTAGTTTCTCGACTTGTAGACGTTCTGCTTCTACTCTCTGCTCTTTAACTCCTATGGTTCTCAAATGATTCTTACCAGTGCAAAAGAAGTATAACAGTCTATTGTAACAAACAAAACGTGGCTCGGAAATGTGGCAATAAAAGGAGTGCTCAGCAGCACATCAGCCAGAGTTCAGCAGATCATTCGTACAAGATTGCTTTCATCAACATACCTCACCTCATCACACCTCACCTCATCAGCACGCCTCACCTGGTTGCTCTTCAACAGCTCTTGAGGTGAGAGGTCAAAGATGTCGAGCAGCAGAGGGCATGTGAGGCCGGGGGGTGCTGGGAAGAATGGCACTCGAAGAGCGGACTCACTCACTAAGAGACGGAAAACAGCAGGGGGTGAGTGGGGGGGAGATGGGAGAGAGAGGGGGACAGAGGGGAGAGGGGGGGGAGAAGAGAGGGGGGAGAGAGTTGGACAGAAAGCAGAGTGAGAGTGGGGGGAAAGAGGGACTATGTTGATACGGTGATGCTTGGGCAGACATGGGCCAGCTCTGTGTTTTCTCCAAACCATGTTTCATTTCGTGTAGGGTGGGGCAGGGGTTAGAAACTTGGTCGAGTTTTGTTCTCACTAGGAAAAGGAATTACAAAAACTTGACCAAAGGGTCGAGTTTTGAGTCGGCCGAAGTTTGAAAAAAAAACAAAAAAAATCTCGGCAGGCTTTCATCGACTCGACTCGTGGGACAAATGAAACTTGTCAATACGACTCGAGCGAAACTCAGACTTGTCACTTGGCCATGTATACTAAGAGGGCAGAGAGAAGGGGACAAAGGAGATTGGAGGGGGTGAGAGGAGAGGAATTGGGGGAGAGGAGAGGAAGAGGGGTGAGAGAGTTGGACAGAGAGGGAAGAGGCGGAGAGGGGGGAAGACGGAAGAGAGGGGGACAGAGGGCAGACGGGGAGAGGGGAGCGAGAAGGGGACAAACGGAAAAAAAGGGGAGGGAGGGAAGAGAGGAGAGAGAGAGGGGGAAAAACGTCAAAAAGGGGAGGGGGGAAATAGGGGAGAGAGAGGGGGACAAAGGGTGGAGAGAATAAGAGAGATGACGCAGTGAAGCGCAGAGTTGAAAGCCGTAGAGCAGTGGACGGTATGTGAGGGGGGGTGGGAGATGGAACAGAGAACATGCTAGGTGAGGTGGGGGGAGGGGGGGAAATGGAAAACGGGTGAGTTTTAACGGCTCGCCTTAAGTGGGAGGCAGCAAGAAGGATTATTCATGAGGGGCTGATAGGCTTACATGCATAGTGGTGAGAAGTGGGAACATAGAAGAGAGAACTGGAATGGTGGCAGTAGCGGAGAGAAAAAAGGAGTGGTGGAACGTAGAGGAGAGAAAAGGAGTGGTGGAAAAGGAGTGGAGGATATGAATGGTGGGAGTGGCGGAGAGAATACGAGTGGTGGTGGGAGGAAGGTGATTAGATAACATAGAGGAGTAAGGCGGTCAGTAGAGGCGCCTAAAAAGCACTCTGTTCAGTCGGTGTTGCCGAAGGAGTGAGCCAGGAACAAAACAATTGATCGCACCAAAAGAGTCGTTTAACAAGGTCTTCGTATGAAGAGAATTAGTGCATAACCACGCACTCCGGACCAGAGTTAAATAGCATCCTCACGAAGCTAGCACAGCCTCATGAGTTACAGTGCATGAGTCAAATCATAAGCAAAATGGGTGAGCACAACTAAACAGATGTCATGTCAGAAGCGGCACAGGTGCGCGAGTGCAGCAGAGGTGCGTGAGTGCTGCTGGAAAAGGCAAAAAGCAGGCAACGTGGAACTTTGCCTCACCTAGCTTACAGCTATGTCACGGGTGTGTTTGAGTTTGAGTCACTCAGGACTTACCTCGGTTACAGCAAGGCTAAAGGGTATTCCAAGGGAAAGTCATGTTTAACAGGCAGGCAGGTTAGACCACCAACGTGGCTCAGCTCAGGTGATCGTTTCATGCAAATGATAAGACTCACTTGATTTACAAGGTAGCTTCACGGAAAGGGAGAGGTTAGTGTACCTTGGTTACAGGGCTGCTTGAGGGGGCTAGAGTAGTTGAGGGGGAAGAAGGAGGGCGGGCAGAGGCAGAAGGAGGAGGCATCATAGCCCTCCAGGCACACGCCAGGCGCACACGTGTCAGTGCTGTTGAGGCGACATGCGGGGAACTCTGGACGGACATTGAGTGGGGAGAGAATGAATTTAGAGGAATTAGAGGTGGGAAGTTAGCGATAAGATGGTGAGTAGGAACTAGAGGGATGATGGGCAAGTCAGGTTGTGAAGCAAGAGGGAACTAGAGGGAACTAGAGGGAGCTATGTATGTTAGCCTGCAACCACTCTTTTGAATCGTCCTTCTTGACTGGAATTGTTACCCATTGTAGTTGATTTGCATTATGCTGTCAGGCCTGGCGTTAGCAATGTGGCACAGCTGCGAGGACTTGCAACTGGGCTGCCTGAACCGATTAGGCAAGAGCTCGTGCATGTTAAGGCACTGAGTGCATGCAATGCATGCACTCAAGAGTCAATACTACTACACTCGCCATGCTGTGACAGCCAGTTCTACTGTCTTACCATTGTGGCACGATTGGAAGGCGGGCATTTGGGGGAGCTTGTAGCTGGGCTGGCTGAGAGGGCACGAGCACGTGCTGGTGTATGTGCCTGTGGCTGCTGACCGCACCGCAGTGCACCTGCCAGCACCGCATGGATTCACGTCCCACGCCGTGCATGGGTTGACGTCTGTGTGGCATGGGGAGTGAGGAGAGACAAGGAGAGGATGTTAGAGGACTCTGTGACAATGTATGGTATTTTGGAAATAAACAAACCTCAATGTGGCACATGGAACCAGGAATTGTGTGCAAATGCACACAGACACAGATGCACAGATGCATGCACAGGCACAGGTGAGTGCATAGGCACAGTGCGTGCATAGGCACAGGTGCGTGCATAAGCACAGGTGCGTGCATAAGCACAGGTGCGTGCATAGGCACAGGTGCGTGCATAGGCACAGGTGCGTGCATAGGCACAGGTGCGTGAATAAGCACAGGTTCGTGCATAAGCACAGGTGCGTGCATAGGCACAGGTGAGTGAATAGGCACAGGTGCGTGCATAGGCACAGGTGCGTGAATAAGCACAGGTGCGTGCATAGGCACAGGTGCGTGCATAGGCACAGGTGCGTGCATACGTGCATCACCCCTACACTCACACACAGCCGTAAAATCGGAAGTTCCACCCTTTGATGGACTGTACACACAGATGCATAATAGGAATGCACGCGAACACATTCACAGACAAATGCACACTCACAGTGAGTGACTCACTCACCAAGCCTTCACACGCACACAACACACACCCAGACCTGTGAATCGAATCGTCCACGCTTTGATGGACTGAACGCATGCCCGCGTGTTGGCACTGCTGAACCCAGCAAACACCGGAATCACTCCCTCGGTGCTGCTATTGCCATCATAGAACACAGAGCACAGGTCAAGTGTCAGCTTCACACTCCCCATCCTCGTAGCCCCTTTATAAGTCACTGCCTCCAGTGTCTTAGTGGCAGCCGTATAGTCCACCCTCATGCTGTATAACGAGGAAATATATCGCTTCTGAGAGGAAAACGCCAACCGATTTGTAATGTTAAAGTCAGTGTGAACGGAGAGAATCGCCACATCCTTGTTAACGTCATGGTTAGGGTCAAGGCCGCTAAAGGCATCAAACATCACCGCCACACTCCTCCCTCCGTCCGCCCACGTCCCATTTGCATTCCTGTCTACCGAGTCGCGGCCATACCCCATCGCCGCCCCTCCTTGCCCCACCCCCAGCCGAGTAATTAGCACAAAAACTACCCCGTATCCAGAAAACCCGCTTCCCTTCAGCTCAAAAGGAAACCACGAGGTGAATGATCGTGCCTTGCACACGAAACCATAAATCTTCTTCTTCTTGTGAGATGCAGGGGCGGGAAGCAGCGAGAGCAGGGGCAGGGGGAGCGGGAAGAAGGCGGCGCCTGCCTCGTGGTCGTCGTTGCCCGGGGTGAGTTGCAGCGAGGAGAAGGTGGTGCGAGTTGAGGCCAAGGCAGTGATGCGGGCAGCTGGCGTGAGGAAGGGGAAGGAGAGCGACGGTGACTGCCACAGGGGGATAGGGGCTGGAGCTGGCAAGGGGGAAGGAAAGGAGAGGAGGAGAGAACGACAATAGGTTAGCTTACAAGTTGAGAGTGGCAGGACGGAAGAGGAAGAAAGGAGAAGAGATGGGAGGCAGCCCCACCGCATGTATAGTAGTCATGAGCACGGGACAGGCTGAGGGCCGGCCCGTGGCTGGGCCGGCCTGGCAAAAATCTGGCCCTGGCCCGGTCCGTGCTCATGTGTAATGCATGGACAGAGGGGCTGAAGTCAAGGGGAAGTAGCAGGAGGGAGGAAAATAAACAGCACTCTCCTTTCGTTCAGTCCCTTTCATTCGAACCTCCAAGCATGGAGAGCTTTCGCCTCTCCGTACATGGCACTGCTCCTGCCTCCTACTTGCTGACCTTGGGCGTCCACCTGGAAGGCCCAGGAGAGGATGTTGTGCGTCTGAGTGTGCAGCGGCAGCAGCCCCGTGCCGGCTGCAAACCCCGCATGCACCAACACGGCCTCCCCCTCCCCTCCATCCTCCTTTGGAGGGGAATGAAAGAGGTGGCAGGCGTTGAAGGGGAGGGACAGGAGGGCGGAGGGGGGCATGGCGGGCGAGGAGGAGAGGCGCACGGAGAGCAGCGAGGCGGTGGCGTTGTAGGCCACCCACGCATGCAGCGTCTCGTTCTTGTTGCCGCCCAGCCAGGGGACGCCCGCGGGGTGCACGGACGCATGGCCTGCTGACGTCATGCTGTAATCGACGTTCACCCCCACGTGGTGAGTGGTTGGGTCCGAAAAAAGACGGGTTGATGACGTGTCAAACTCCACTGCCAGGCTGTGCTGATGTGGCAGGCTGCTGTTATATGTGATACCATCTGCAGCAACAAACAACTCCTCCTGACTGTAAGGCCTTCAGCCGTATCCCATGTTCGGCCCGGGCAGCCCGACGGTCGGGTCGGGCAGGAAAACGAAAGCAAAGCCGTCGGCCCCGAGAGCAGCAGCGGATTGGGGGGAGGAGAGGCGGAAGGAGAAGGAGGAGGAGAAGGAGTAGGGGCGGCAGGGGGAGGTGGGGGAGGAGGGGGAGACGAGGGGGAAGGGCGTGGGGTGCAGGGCAAGGCCCGCTTGGTGGGGGGGAGAGAGGGGGGTGAGGCGCAGCGAGGAGGAAAGGAGGCGAGCCGAGCCGGAGGTGAGGAGGGGAGAGGAGGAGTTCAGTCGGGAGTAGGAGAAGGACGGAGGGGCAGAGGCCGCTGAAATTTGTGGGGAAAGGGGGGGGCGGGGGAAGGTAAAGTAAAGAGAAAAAAAGAATCAGAGTGGATGTGCTTGGCTTGGGCATGAGCAACGAATAGAGATCAGTGGATATTCAAGGATGTCCATTAGCCCATTAGTCCTAACAATTGTCACCATGTATGTACTTGCTCAAATGTGGCCGAATGTCATCCAAGTGTGGCCAACGGCTGGTTAGGCGAGTCACACTCTGCTCCTAACAGATTGTGTTCACCTGGTGCACGTGCAACCGACCGACCTCTGCCTCTGAGCGCACCTGTGCCTCTGAGCGCACCTGTGCCTCTGGGAGCCACCGTGATCAGATCCACATCGATGCTCCCCGCTGCTGCTGCCGCTGACGTCAGCGCCCCGCCTTCCACCGCTGCTGCCTCTGCTGTGAATGGACCAGCCCCTGCCGCGGACGCGTCTCCACTCACAGACGCACCCCCAGGCAGCGACGAGCCTCCAGGCAGCGACGAGCCTCCAGGTAGGGACGAGCCTCCAGGTAGCGACGAGCCTCCAGGCAGCGACGAGCCTCCAGGTAGCGACGAGCCTCCAGGCAGCGACGAGCCTCCAGGCAGCGATCCCACAGAGCCACCAGGCGATCCCACAGAGCCACCAGGCGATCCCACAGAGCCACCAGGCGATCCCACAGAGCCACCAGGCGATCCCACAGAGCCACCAGGCGACCCCACAGAGCCACCAGGCGATCCCACAGAGCCACCAGGCGTGCTGACACTGTCTGCCCCACTGCCCTCCAGCACCACGAGGTGCAGAGCAACGCCTTGTGGCGGGAAGGATAGAGCAGCAGCGGAGGCGGAGGAGGGTGGGAGGTGGAAGGAGAAGGGACCGTGTTGGCGCCAGGGCAGCAGACCTGAGAGCGAGTTGGAGTTGTTGTTGCGGCAGGGAACGCCGATGGTCCATCGATGCAGCACCACCATCTCTCCGCTGCTAATAGCGGCTGCTAGCGCCCTCGCCAGCTCGCCCTCGTCCACGCTGCTGCTGCTGCTGCCTACGGTGGCTGGTGGTGGTGGCAGGGGCACGGCAACGATCATTGCTCGCATCGGCCGCAATCCAGAGGCAGAAGACACATCCATCATGCACTCGCGTGCCCTTGCATAGAAATACACCGAAAACTCTGCCTCCTGCTGCTGCTGCTGCTCTCCCCCGTCCACAACACACAGCAGCTGCCCCAGACCCTGCACCGGCCACACGGCCCCTTCACTCTCGCTCGCCCCCGTCCCCCAAAGCTCGCCACCGGTGCCGCCACTGCCGTCGCTGGGCTGCAGGCGAACAAACCGACCGCCCTCAGCAGCAACGGACGGGTCCCCGCGCGGAGTCTCCCCTCCCCCTCCCCCCTGCCCTTGCTGCTGTGCTGCGCCGGGGACGAGCGGCACCCAGGACGACAGGGGCGAGGGCCAGTCTGTTGCAGCGGAAACTTCCTCAAAGCCCGCATTGCGCAGAAGGTTCAAAGAGGGAGCTGGGGGCGGTGGGGTGAGAAGTGGGGGCCGGCAAAGTGAAGAGGGGGGAGGGGGGAGAGGGGGGGGGGGTGTTGGGAGGGAGGGAGGGGGGATGATGGAGGGGATCCAAGAAGGGCAGCTCTGCAGGGCTGGGACTGGGAAATGAGATGCGGCAATCTGCGCAAGAAACGGGAGAAAAGGGAGAGAAAGGGAGAGGTGACCCAGAGGAGGTGGGAGGGGCAACTCGGCCGTTCGCTGCGGCAGGCGGGGTTGGTTGGTTGGGGTGGTGACTTTTCGCCGTCGACGATTAGTTGGGCGAAATGCCGCAGGTAGAATTTCGCCGGACGATCGGGTTACAATCGCCTTCGGCGATTGGATCGCCTTCGTACTCGCGGTCTCTTGGATCCTTCGCCTTGAGCTGCTGCGAGGCAGGCGGGTATAACGCCTCTCGCTACCCACTGTTTTGCCAGGGCGAGGTATTCTTGAGGCACAGCGGATGCCGCAGCATTTCAACGCTCGAGATGCTGAGGCTACCTTTCGAGAGATGCTGCGTGGCTACCTTGAGCTGTGAGGCTGGCGCAAGTCGGCAAGGCGGCGTTGGCGACGGCGACGAGCGAGAGGAAGTGCGCGGTTACCACAAGCAGGCGAAGGACGACGATGAGGCGGCCTGGTCTCTTGATGCCATGTGGAGCCTGCCAAGTCGAGGCATGATTCGGGATTTGAGCCACTGGGCGGCAGGGATGCAGCAATTGACACGCTATAGAGTGACCCATTAAGAATAGTAGCGGTGTTCGGTTCGCGTGTGGCATGGAGAAAAGCACCGCGAGAACGGCGATTGCGAGGACAGGGGAGAAAGGGGCGAACTTGCGGTGATGGCAGCATCGCGCGACAGAAGAGAATGATTATCAGGTCTGCGGTTTCAGCAAAGAAACCCGCCGCATTACCGTGTATCTAACCACCCTTACACGAGGGCGAAGGCTAGCTGGGCCAAAGCTCTGAAGTGTTGAGGCGGAACATCCGGCCTGTAGTAATCCAGCTCGAACCCTAACCACACTGCACCACGCCTGTATCTCACGGAAACGCACCAAACTGCTTCGCACCTTTTGAACCTCAAAATCCGAGGCTTTGTAAGCCTATTTGTGTGATGGAGTGGTCTTTTAGAAGCATGCAATGATCGAGAGAGGTTTTCTTCAATTGCAAGTTGCGGCCATGGCTTCACTGCAACCTGTTGTAAGTTGTACTGTAGTAACTGGGCCGAGGGAAGGATTGGTGAAGGGGTCTTGCGGCAGTGAGCAGCCGAACGACCGCGCGCATCGCGCGAATGTTGGGAGTTCGGTTGGCCGAAAGCAGGGCTCTTGAATACAGTAGAGAGGGAAAATCCAGTCGTCAATAGAGTTGGCAATCCAGTACATATGGTATACAGTACAACGTGCATATGGGTTGGTACGTTCAGGTTTAGGGTGCGCGCGGACTGCACAGACTTGGTTTGTCGAGGGGGGGAATGGACTGGACCTCATGCTGGGGCAGGTGGTGATGTGCATACAGAGCAAATCTTTATCGTTTTTGAAGGCACGGAAGGCTCCGGGTTCGCCTAGAAAAAGACCCTGAAAAATCAGTTTCCCCTCCGTGCCTGTGTGCACATCACCACCACCTGCACCTGTGTGCATGGGCAAATTTTTCGTTTTTGAAGGCACGGAAGGCTCCGGGTTCGCCTAGAAAACGACCATGAAATATCAGTGTTCCCCCGAACGTTTCCCTGTCGCGTCCGTAAGTTTTTCCCAAAATCCGAAAATGCAAAACAGCATTTCTTCACCCCAGGCGCAAGTGATTCTGAAATGTCCATGTCGGATGGGCAAGGACTACTAATAGACAGTACACCTGGTCTCCGCCAATTTCACCTTTCCACCTTCTTTCGGGAAATACCCCTACCCATAATAATAGACTTGGTGTATATCGCCCTCCTGAGCCCCCAGAGCTACGGAAACGAGGGACCAAGGTTGAGATTTGTTGGGCAAGGAGAGCTGTTGTGCCTCCGCACGCGGCACTAGCGACGAACGACATCCAGCCTGCCAGACTGGCGCGTTGACATTGTTGAAGGTCAACGCCAAGGTTCACTTCCACTTCCACCCCTCCGTATGTCAACGCGCCACTCTGGCAGTCGTCCATCAGTAGTGCCGCATGCGGGCAGCAGCAAATATCCAACCTATCCAAATTTCATTTGGCGTCAGTCAGTGCGTGCCTAGGTCAGGGAGGGAGGCGCTATCTCAGCCTCAAGGTTGCTGGTTTCGTTGGTGCTCTCAGTTCAAGCCAACTGAACTGCCCACATTGAAGCGATTGGCGCGGCAGCTCGGCTGCTCTCTGCCGCGAAACCTTCGTTACCTAACCTACCTTTCCCAACCAAACCCAACCAACCGCCCCATTCCACGAGGGTTTGCAAAGTGCAACTCACCAGACCAGCCTGCTCCTTGGCAGCCATCCACTTCCAGCAAGTAGGTTTTCGACAAGGCTCTGATTTCGAAGTTCAGAGAGGTGAGAAACGGTCTGGTGCGCTTTCATGATATACAAGCGTGGTGCTGTGTGATTAGGGTTTGAGATGGGTGGCTCCCAGCCGTATGTTCCGCCTGAACACTTGGTCCTAGACTTAATCCAGCTTGGCTTGTCGTGGCTTGTAGGGTGGTTCGTTGGATACAGGACGGGGAACGAGTTTCAGCTTGGCTTGGCTTGGCTTGTCGCGCCATGCTGCCATCACCGCAAGTTTCACTCCTTCTCCCCTTTCCTCGCAATCGCCGCGCACTCTCGCGGCAGTTCTCTCCATGCCATATGCGACCCGACTATCCACTAATCTTAACGGGTCACTCTGTAGCGAGTATATCGCTGCGTCCCTGCCCATTGGCACAAATCCGAAGCATGCCTCCAATCGGCAGGCTCCACGTGGCATCAGGAGTCCAGGCCACCTCATTGTCGTTCTTCGCCTGCTTGTGGTAACCGCGCACTTCCTCTCGTTCGTCGCCGTCGCCAACGCCGCCGTGCCGACATGCGCCAGCCTCGCAGCTCAAGGTATCGATTCTTGCGACGTCTTGAGAGGTAGCTTCGCGGCAGCCCCTCGCAGCTCTCCCGAAATCACGCGGCGCGTGCCTGACGGCAGCTCAGTTTCGCAGAGGATCCAAGATCGCAAGGGCATTTCCGGACAACCGGTTACGCCAGCAGCAGCGAGCAGAGGATCCAAGAGATCGCGGCGCAGGGAGTTCGAAGGTATCGATCCGAGAGATGATCTCAAGGGGAGGCTCGAATGTGTCGATCCGGCGTAGCAATCCCCCGGAGTGATAACCACCGAACGATAGTAACGCCATTATCACCCAGCAATAAGATGAGGGTTTCGGGTGCGAGATACTACGCGCAATCTCACCCAACTTCTCGTACACGACGGCTAAAACAAGTTCACATTTCCGAACAGCCGGTTACGCCAGCAGCAGCGAGCGGCGGTCACCGCATCATCGCGTCTCTTCCGCCTTCATTGCCGCCAAATTCTTCCCCCTCTACGCCTCCCGCTCCGCTCTAACCCCCGCCCATCCCAGCGGCTTTACTGCGCTGCCCTCCGCCCAGCCCTGCTGCACTAAGTCCCGCCCGCCAAACCAGCACTGCCGTACTACCTACGCCTTCCCCCCACGTTTCCCCTTCCCCCGAATACCCCCCCGGCCCAATTGCTCCTCCCCACCTCCCCTGTCATATATCTGTCATCTCTCCCTCTCTCCTCCGCTCCCTTATCTCCCTCCTTCCCCCCCTTCGTTCGTTGTTTCTCTCGGCCCCAGCGACTTCGAATCGTTCTTCCAGAGCTGCACTTCCATCCGTCGTCTTATCGCGTTTCCCGCTCCCTTGATTACAATCCCCTCCACCACCCCCCCCTCCCTTCCTACCCCCTTAACCACATCTCCCCCCTCTCTCTCCGCCCCCTCTCCCGCCCCACCCCTCTCTCCACCCCGCCCCACCCCGCCCCACCCAACCCCCCCCACCCCCTCCCTCCCCCTCCTCCTCCCAGCTCCCTCGTTGAACCTCCTGCGCAATGCGGGCTTCGAGGGAGTTTCCGATGCAGCAGAGTGGCCCTCGCCCCTGTCGTCCTGGGTGCCGCTCGTCCCCAGCGCAGCACAGCAGCAAGGGGAGGTGGCGGGGGAGGGGGGAGAGGTAGGGGGAGGGGTAGGGGTATGGGGAGGGGTAGGGGGAGGGGGAGGGGAGGCTCCGCCCGGGGACCCGTCCGTTGCTGCTGAGGGCGGTCGGTTCGTTCGCCTGCAGCCCAGCGACGGCAGTGGCGGCACCGGTGGCGAGCTTTGGGGCAGCGGGGCGAGCGAGAGTGAAGGGGCAGTGTGGCCGGTGCAGGGACTGGGGCAGCTGCTGTGTGTCGTGGACGGGGGGGAGCAGCAGCAGCAGCCGCAGCAGCAGGGGGAGGAGGAGGGGGAGTTTTCGCTGTATTTCTATGCGAGGGCACGCGAGTGCACTATGGATCCGTTTTCTGCCTCTGGATTGCGGCCGATGCGAGCAATGATAGTTGCCGTGCCCCTGCCAACGACTGCTGGCAGCACAGGCAGCAGCGTGGACGAGGGCGAGCTGGCGAGGGCGCTAGCAGCCGCTATGAGCAGCGGAGATATGATGGTGCTGCATCAATGGAACATTGGCGTTCCCTGCCTCAACAACAACTCCAACTCTCTCTCGGGCCTCCTGCCCTGGCGCCAGCACGGGCCCTACTCCTTCCACCTCCCTCCCTCCTCCGCCTCCGCCGCTGCTCTATCCTTCCCGCCGCAAGGCGTTGCTCTGCACCTCGTGCTGCTGGAGGGAAAGGGGGCGGACACCGTGGTGTTGCCTGGTCCCGTTTGGGTGCCCGTTCCCGGAGCTCCCTTTGGGTCTGGGGGCTCGTCGCTGCCTGGGGGCTCGTCGCTGCCTGGGGGCTCGTCCGTGACTGGAGATGCGGCCGCGTCGGGGGCTGTTCCAATGGCAGCAGCGGTGGAAGGCGGGGCGCTGACGTCAGCGGCAGCAGCAGCAGGGAACATCAATGTGGATCTGATCACGGTGGCTCCCAGAGGCACAGGTGCGCTCAGAGGCACAGGTGCGCTCAGAGGCACAGGTGCGCTCAGAGGCACAGGTGCGCTCAGAGGCACAGGTGCGCTCAGAGGCACAGGTGCGCTCAGAGGCACAGGTGCGCTCAGAGGCACAGGTGCGTTCCTTGGGATCACAGGTGCGCTTCTTGATGACGCTTCTGTTCAGTAGATGCACCTTTTTCACGAGTCAAGGACAAGGCTTGGATGAGTCGACCCTCTGTGCACCTTTTTTCATGAGGTTACATACCTTGTTTCATGAGGTAACACACCTTGTTTCATGAGGTTACATACCTTGTTTCATGAGGTAACACACCTTGTTTCATGAGGTAACACACCTTGTTTCATGAGGTAACACACCTTGTTTCATGAGGTAACACACCTTGTTTCATGAGGTTACATACCTTAGAGTCCAAGTCTTTAGAGTTCTCTCTCTCCTTCGCAAATTGTCTATGTTGCTCACTCTTCCACCCTTTTTGTCCCTCCCTCCTCCCCACAAATTTCAGCAGCCTCCTCCCCTCCGTCATTCTCCTACTCCCCGCTGACCTCCTCCTCTCCCCTCCTCACCTCCGTCTCGGCCCGGCTCACCTCCTCGCTGCGCCTCACCCCCCTCTCTCCCCCCCACCAAGCGGGCCTTGCCCTGCACCCCACGCCCTTCCCCCTCGTCTCCCCCGCCTCCCCCACCTCCCCCTGCCGCCCCTACTCCTTCTCCTCCTCCTTCTCCTTCCGCCTCTCCTCCCCCCAATCCGCTGCTGCTCTCGGGGCAGACGGCTTTTCTTTCGTTCTCCTGCCCGACCCGACCGTCGGGCTGCCCGGGCCAAACATGGGATACGGCAGAAGGCCTTACAGTCAGGAAGAGGTGTTTGTGGCTGCAGAAGGGGGGGGACTTGTGGGTGGGGGAATGGGGGAAGAGTGTGTGGTAGTGAATGGGGCCTTTGAATGCACCCCGCTTGGCAGCAGCAGTGGCATCACATATAACAGCAGCCTGCCACATCAGCACAGCCTGGCAGTGGAGTTTGACACGTCATCAACTCGTCTGTTTGTGGACCCAACCACTCACCACGTGGGGGTGAACGTGGATTACAGCATGACGTCAGCAGGCCATGCGTGCGTGCACCCCGCGGGCATCCCCTGGCTGGGCGGCAACGAGACGCTGCATGCGTGGGTGGCCTACAACGCCACCGCCTCGCTGCTCTCCGTGCGCCTCTCCTCCTCGCCCGCCATGCCCCCCTCCGCCCTCCTCTCCCTCCCCTTCAACGCCTGCGACCTCTTTCACATTGCTCCAAAAGAGGACGGAGGGGAGGGGGAGGCCGTGTTGGTGCATGCGGGGTTTGCAGCCGGCACGGGGCTGCTGCCGCTGCACACTCAGACGCACGACATCCTCTCCTGGGCCTTCCAGGTCGACACGCAAGGTGAGCGGGGGAGTGGGCAAGGGGAAGGGCAAGGGGAAGGGCAGTTGCGAAGTGTAGGTTTACAGCTTGCCAAGAGAGAGCCAAGGATTGAATGAGGGGGGGGCGTGCGCCGTGTCTAAGCCCACTTCATAGCGTTCCTCCTGCCCACTTCCTCCTGCCCACTTCCTCCTGCCCACTTCCTCCTGCCCACTTCCTCCGCTCCTCTCTCCCCTTCCCCTCCTATCTCTCAAGCCTTGCATGTGAAGGTGTTTCCCCTCTTCCCCCTTTTGATTCCCTCCTCTTCCCCCTCCTGTCCCCCCAAAACCCGCACCTCCCTTTCTCCCAGCGCCGGCTCCTCCTCCCCTGTGGCTGCCGCCGTCGCTCTCCTTCCCCTTCCTCACGCAAGGCGCCCGCTTCACTGTCTCGGGTTCTACTCGCCAAACCTTCTCCTCGCTGCAACTCACTCCGGGCAACGACGACGGGGAGGCAGGCGCTGCCTTCTTCCCTCTCCCCCTGCCCCTGCTCTCGCTCCTCCCTGCCCCTCCCCAACGCAAGGGGAAAAAGGGTGGGAAAACTGATGCAGTGGTGTGCAAGGCTCGGTCCTTCACCTCGTGGTTTCCGTTTGAGCTCAAGGGAAGCAGTTTCTCTGGATACGGGGTAGTTTTTGTGCTAAGTACTCGGCCAGAGGTGGGGCAAGGAGGGGCGGCTATGGGGTGTGGCCGCGACTCGGCAGACAGGAATGCAAATGGGACATGGGCGGATGGAGGGAGGAGTGTGGCGGTGATGTTTGATGCCTTTAGCGGCCTTGACCCTAACCATGACGTTAACAAGGATGTGGCGATTCTCTCCGTTCACACTGACTTTAACGTGACTCAGCGGCTGGCTTTTTCGTCTCAGAAGAAATACACTTCATCCTCCTTATACAGCATGAGGGTGGACTATACGGCTGCCACTAAGACTCTAGAGGCAGTGACTTATAAAGGGGCTACGAGGATGGGGAGTGTGAAGCTGACACTTGACCTGTGCTCTGTGTTCTATGATGGCAATAGCAGCACCGAGGGAGTGATTCCGGTGTTTGCTGGGTTCAGCAGTGCCAACACGCGGGCATGCGTTCAGTCCATCAAAGCGTGGACGATTCGATTCACAGGTCTGGGTGTGTGTTGTGTGCGTGTGTCTGTGCATATGAGTTTGTGTGCATTCACGTATGCATTTGTAGCCTAATTGCATCAGTGTATGTGTTCAGTCGGTCGAACATGGACCTTCTGATTTCACGGTTGTGTGTGACTCAGAGGGGTGTGCTTATGCACGCATCTGTGGCTGTGCATGCTTCTGTACGTGTCTGTGCATGTACACACGTAAGTTCGTTCCATGTGCCGCATCCATGATTTGATCTATTTCAAATTATCATGCATTGCCGCTGATTGAGCATGCCATCACCACAGAATTCATGCATCGTTAAGCAAAAACGATGTTAATCCACTCAATTGACAAACTCTATCCTAATGCCAATTTTTCGTATCCTTCCTTCTCCTTTGTTCAGCACTGCTCCCCTCCCTCATCTCCTCTACCATTCCCTCCTTGTCTCTCCTCACTCCCCATGCCACACAGACGTCAACCCATGCACAGCATGGGACGTGAATCCATGCGGTGCTGGCAGGTGCACTGCGGTGCGGTCAGCAGCCACAGGCACATACACCAGCACGTGCTCGTACCCTCTCAGCCAGCCCAGCTACAAGCTCCCCCAAATGCCCGCCTTCCAAACGTGCTTCAATGGTAAGCCCAGACAAGCGTCACAGCATAGTGCACAAGGGTATTGACAAGGGTAAATCCTGACGAGGGTATTCATTGCATTGCCTTAGCCCGTGCTCTTGCCCTCTCAGTTCACCCGTCCTAGCTAAGCTGCAAGCCTATTCCAAGGTGCCACATCTGTGCCTCCAACTCTGACAGCACACTACAGCCAGCATGGCACAGCATGGCACATCATGGCACAGCATGGCACAGCATGGCACAGCATGGCACAGCATGGCACAGCATGGCACAGCATGGCACAGCATGGCACAGCATGGCACAGCATGGCACAGCATGGCACAGCATGGCACATCATGGCACAGCATGGCGCATGTAATGGTATTGACTCTTGAGTGCACGCATTGCACTCTGTGCCTTGGCACCGTGGCACGTGCTCTTGCCTTCTCGGTTCAGACAGCCCAGCAGCCAGCCAGCCCTCTCAGTTGTGCCACATTGGTAACGCCAGGTCTGACAGCATAATACAATCAATCAATGGAAAATACACTAAAATGGATGTTTGCATTCTGAATAAACGTTTCACAATTGTGGTTACAGGGTAACACACATGCTCATGCCCTACAGGTAAATCCCCCTTCAGCTTCCTCGCACTCAAGGTTGCCAGCCACAGTCATCCATCCTGGCTTTCCGATCATCCCTCCAGTTCCTACTCACCATCCAATCCCTGACTTCCCCCCTCTAACCCTTCTACATTTCCGCTCTCCCTATCCTCTGTCCTTCCAGAGTTCCCCACATGTCGTCTTAACAGCACTGACACCTGTGCGCCTGGCGTGTGCCTCGACGGCTATGATGCCTCCTCCTTCTGCCTCTGCCCGCCCTCCTTCTTCCCCCTCGACTACTCTAACCCCCTCAAGCAGCCCTGTAACCAAGGTACACTAACCTCTCCCCAAGGTTACCTTGTCACGCAATTGAATTACTTCAACTGCTTGAAGCAATCATCTGAGCCTCATTACCGATCTGACCTGCTTCTGCCCGCCCGGTTTGTTAACCCTGACGTCAACCTTATAAAAGTATTCTTCAACCTAGCTTCAACCGATATAAGTTCTGTGTAAGTTGACTCAAGCTGGTCTGTAACATAGCTGCAAGTCAGGCGAGGCAGGTCCTCAACGTTTCCTGCCTTTTGCCTTCACCAGGAGCACTCACGCACCTGTGCTGCACTCACGCACCTGTGCTGCTGACATGCCTTGTGTTTTGGTGGTTGCAACTACAATGACCTTTTTTGCTTGTAAGCTGACTCACAGACAATGCTGTGAGTGCAGCTGTGCTAGCCTTGTGAGGATACTCCGTAACTTTGGTCAGGAGAGCGAGATCCTTCATTAATTTAAACTCCCGTGCACTCCTGTGCACTCCTGTGCATGCATTGATTGAGGGCACAAGAGGACCTCGTGTGCTTCGATTCAATGGCCTTCATTCATATGAGGGCCTTGTCAAATGCATAACTCTTGGCTTCTTTACGTGGCAGTACCGACCGAACAGAGCCTAATGTGGCTGTTGTCTAGGAACAGAGCCTAATGTGGCTGTTGTCTTGGAACAGAGCCTAATGTGGCTGTTGTCTAGGAACAGAGCCTAATGTGGCTGTTGTCTAGGCTCTTCAACTCACTGACCACTTTGCTACTCTTATGCTTTATTGCCATCCTCCTTCCTCTCACCACCGGTCCACCACTCCTACTCTCTCCGCTACTCCCACCACTCGTATACACTCCGCCACGCCCACCACTCCCATTCTCTCCGCTACCCCCACCCACCACTCCCATTCTCTCCTCTCTCTCTCCCTCTCTTCTTCCCCACATTTTCCCCTTCTCCCCTCTGTCCCCTCTCCCTCTCCTCTCCCCCCCATTCTCCCCTTCTGCCCCCCGTCCACCAGTGAGTGAGTCTGCTACTCGAGTGCCATTCTTCCCAGCACCCCCCGGCCTCACATGCCCTCTGCTGCTCGACATCTTTGACCTCTCACCTCAAGAGCTGCTGGGGAGCAACAAGGTGAGGCATGGTGATGAGGTGAGGCGTGGTGATGAGGTGAGGCGTGGTGATGAGGTGAGGCGTGGTGATGAGGTGAGGCGTGGTGATGAGGTGAGGTGTGGTGATGAGGTGAGGCGTGGTGAAGGTGACGTGTGTTGATAAAAAACACTTTTGTATAATGAGCTGACGATGTTCTGAACACTCCATATTTTGCTGGGTTTCCCGAGCCGCTTCTTGCTTGTTATTATACATTAATACGATAATTGTAGTGCTTGCAAGATTCAATTCAAGCAAGGAGCTATAAGAGCAGAGAGGTCAGAAGCAGAAAGGTTGCAAGCTGGGAAACTCGAAGTGGAGACATGTGTTCTTTCAATTATCATCTTTCAAGGGAACCATGTGTTCTTTCGATCCTGGTAGAAATATTATGTCAATTTTAAAGGCCCTTTTTTTTTTGGATCCTGAGACAGGCCTGTGCTTCAGCCTTGTATAGATGCTCATTTGTTTCAGTGGTGCTTTTAAATCAACTCAATAGATGCTCACTTGCTTCAGTGGTGTTTCAGTGTTCCTTTTGTGTTCAATTGTTTCAGTGCTCAATTGCCCTTTTTCATGGAATCTCTCGCAATCAACGTCATGTTGCGCTGGTCTCTGTTGTTCTCTCTGTACGGCAGGACATGGCATGTGACAAGCCCATACCTCGTGGCTTGATAGTCAACGTGTCGGCATCTGCCAACAAGAACTGCACCAGCATGTATACCACCAACCAGGTGAGGCATGGCTGGTTGCTTCGCAAAATCGTGACCCAATGGGAGAGAGGTCGCGAAGCAAAATCGCTAATGAGTGGGAGCGGTTTTACTATTTTACGACCTGATTCTCTTTCAGAAACCCGAAATCTAGGTTTACCTATGTGTGTGGGATTCTGATGCTGATTTGATTTGATTTGTCCATGTTACGGATACTCCATGTTCAACGCGTCTAGAGTGGTCTGCCCGAAAGTTATATTTACACTGCTCGGCCCAGCGTATTCTGAGCGTCCTATACAAGGACGGGTTGGCGTCCAACGGCCACGGCGCTAGCGTCTGGACGCGTCTTTCTCCACTTAGCCCCACTCTCCATCTCATCTCACTCGCACATGCACCCATCCCCCCCCCCCCCCCCTCCCTCCAGGGTGACACGTGCACGTCAGTCAACAGCCTCCTTGACACCAACATAACAGATCTAAACCGTAACATTGATTGCTCACAACCTCTCGTTCCTGGAAAGGTCAGATCCCATCCCAATCCCATCCCAAACCCTTCAATCCCTTCCTGATCCCTTTCCTGGTGACTCTTGAGTCGACTCAAAAGTCGATCCCTTCCTGATCGCTTCTCTGGTGTGGTCCTTTTCCCTGTTCGGCTAACCATGCTAGCAAGCCTTACCATGGCAACTGTAGCCTACCACCCATAGCCAATGCTGTTAGAATGTCGAGATGCCCTAAATGTTCAGGGTGTGACAACTGATTGTGAAGGGAATTCTTGTGGCGGCAGAAAAAAGCAGTCTCGGAAGCCCCACCTTTGCAGCGTCAGCTCTGTAGCTCAGCATGGCGCCTCACCACCTAAAACTCTCTTTTCTCCTCACCCCCACCCTCCCCCTCTCTCTCCCTCTTCTCCCAACCCCCACCCTCTCCCCCGCCTCCCCCTCTCTTCCCACTGCCTCCATGCAGCGCATATGTGTGCGGAACAACCCTGACGTCCCCACGCCCCGGGTGGCGGCCTGCATGATTCACCTCGGGCTCAATCCAGAGATGCACACGTGCCAGCGGCTCTCCACGGTCGGCTACGGGTTTAACCAAATGAGCTACTCAAAGATTTTCCTCGCCAACCCCGCTCTCTACTGCGACCAACTGCTGCCCGGTGCAGCTGGGTGGGACGACTCAGTTCTCGACTCGGTGAGTGGGTCATTTGAATTTCACGTGACACTCACATGATTTGGGCTTTGCAAACCTTTTTCAGCTCAACCCTGCTGCTCTTTGTTGAGGCCACGTGCTGCCCGGCCCAGTGCTGTTGGCTGGACTGACTGTTCTCCACACGGTGGGTCCATACGGTGTTGTTCTCAACACCATACATGTTGTTTGCCTCTTTTCTTGGAAGCTTTACATCCAGTTTTGCTTGCAGGGACATTTGCGGGCCTTGCTAAGCCCAGCTTGCACTTGACATTGAACATGGTTGTCTGGTTCGTGGGTGTTATGGATTCGTTCATGGGTGACCGATGGTCTTGGTATTGGTGTGGTTGCATGTCAGGACATCTTGTAGTGGTATTTTCATGGTTGCTGCGGATTGCATTTCGACATGGCGTGCATGGCAAAATTTTGGTGGTTTTGTGGGTTGACCCCTCACATCAGGTGTGCATATTGACGGACGTGCGGTCGGGTTCTGGAGGAACGCAGTGCGATACTCGCCGGTTCTACTACGTTAGGAAAGGGGATACGTGCGGCAAGCTGATTGCATCTCGATACAAGAAGAAAGTGAACCTTTTCCGCTCACTTAATGGAGGGTATGACTGTACCGTGTCGTCGTTGTGGGAGGGTATGAAGCTGTGCTTACCGTAAGCTGAGATTCTAAAATCTAATGCTGGATTATGCACCATTGCTTTAACCAGACTTACAGATCAGCCTTCACATACATCTACTTAACTGTTGCTCGGCAGCAGCCTTTGTGCGAGTATGATCTTCTCTGTATCATAATTCGCATAGATATGTTTGAAATATGTTTCAGAAACATGTGTGAACTAGAGAAAGAATGAACAGAAGCGGGCATACAGGGGGGTTGGTACAATTAGCATCCCATGTCAAAAATTATGTTATATCTATAGACAGCCTACAGCATAGACTAGTGTAGCTACACCTGCTGTGGTACACCCCAAATTGCGCTTGCTTTGCTCGTATTTCTCGGGCCCTTGGCCCTCTATTGAAACCCCTCTTCCTCTTTCCTATATCAACATCTTGCTACTTTCCTAGCTTCTGTAGTTCTAGACAAGTAGTTGTTGAGAACCCCTAATTTCTACAGTACAACCCTTGGACCTTTATGGCTAGTAGCAAGTAGTGCCAGTAAGAGTCTGGTTAGAACAAAGCTGTTGAAACGTTAGCTCCTTAGCTTACGGCAAGCACAGCTGCATGCCCTCCCACATCGACGACACAGTACAGTCATACCCTCCATTGAGCGACCGCAAAAGGTTCACTTTCTTCTTGTATTGAGACGCAATCAGCTTGCCACACGTGTCTCCTCTCTTCACAAGATAGAACCGACGAGTCTTGCACTGAATTCCTCCGAAACCTGGCCGCTCATCCACTAGTAAACACACCTGGTGTGTGCGAGGGGTCAAATCACAGGATAGCTCAAATTTAGGCAATCAGCATGCCATGCAACCCGTGTCAGGGCACTGTTAGGATGCTGTTTTCAGCAATCCAACCATGAGCATATCAGTATAAGAAGCCCAAAGGGTAACAGCAGCCTTTGATATCAGGGTAAAACATCCTGATTACCCTGCTTTCAGGATGCTGTCTGGGGTTTGCTTTAAAATTTCAGGATGATACTAGATTTCACCCTGTAACTTCAGGATAATTGTATTTTTTTGCCCTGAATTTTCAGGAAGGCCGTAGTTTTTTGCCCTGAAACGTCAGGATGAGTATTGAGCAGTGCCCTGACGCGTATACAAAAGGGAAGGGAAGGGGGTGGGGAGGTGGGAGGGGAAGTGGGTGGGATGTTGTTCCCTTAAATGATTCCAACCACCTCTGTGTTGCGAGACGGCATGCACATTGATGAGCTGGCAGGCCAAGGCACGAGACTATCTACAGATCTCGTGCCTGTGTTACCATATAAAATTATTACATGTGCAATCACGATACCAATCAAGGTTCTTTACAGACTCTGCCCTGACAGGACAGGATAAAATCCAGCTGGTGCCCAGGAAATTCAGGATGCCCATGAAAGTTTGCCCTGAAAAATCAGGACGTTTTTTTTCCTTTTTGAAAATATGCCATGAGGGCTCAGGATGTCTGAAATCCTAGCAAAGGCCCACACCAAAATTATAACCAGACAACTCTAATCACTGTCAAGTTCAAGTTGGGCCTTGCAAGTTCGACCTTGCAAGTTGGCCCTCGTCAGTCTTCCAAAGTAAACTGGATTCATGTCTTTCACATACAAGGGCAGGCAGCATGTACGCACAGTGTGAACTTGCAAGGCCCACACCAGTCTTGCAAAGTAAACTGGATGCATGTTTTTCACATACAAGGGCAGGCAGTGAAAGAATCTCAAGTGTTGTCTTGATTAGAAAGAGTGTCGGTACATATAGGAGATGAGAAGTTTTGGGAACGAAGTGGGGTACCCTCAGCATTTATTGGTGGACCAATCAGATTGGGTCGACCAACAATTGCTGGGGTAACCAACAATCGTTGGAGGGGACCATTATTGGCCCCCCCCCGTCAATTGCGGTCGAGTTGGGTTTGGGGGCGCCCAACCAAAATTGGTTGGGTCGCCTTGACCCAAAGTGTACACCCACTTTAGGGTGTAACACATGCACAAATATAAACATACATTATGCTATATTCTAACAGGCAGCACATATGCACTGTGTGAACTTGCAAGGCCCACCTCGCTCTTGCAAAAAAAACTGGATGCATGGCTTTCAAAAACATAGGCAGGCAGCTCGTACACATGGAGTAAGCACCCTCAGCGTGGAGCGAACAGCAGATTCAGCCAGCAGCACCGGGCAGCAGGTGGTGGCACTAAAGAGTGAGGAAGCTTCGAGACCGGTTCAAAAAGGCTCAAAAGCATTCGACATGTCAGAAAGACTTAGCTTTCACGTGCAAGCCAAACGCGCTCACCCTGTCGAGAACAGAGTCGTCCCACCCAGCTGCACCGGGCAGCAGGTGGTCGCAGTAGAGAGCGGGGTTGATGCGGAAGGTCTTTGAGTAGCCCATGCGGCTCCACCCGTAGCCGAACGCCGCCACCTGCTGGCATGTGTGCAGGCCCGGCTCGAGAGCCTTGTGGTCCGTGCAGGCCGCCACGGGGAAGGTGGGGGCGTTGGTGTTGTTCTCCACACACACGCGCTGCAGGGAGGATGGGGATGCAACGGGGGAGGGGGAGGGAGAGGGGCTTGAACAAGGTTCATTTCCCCTGGAGCGAAAGGTATGCCCTCAACAGTCAGCTGTATCACGGCTTGAGTGTTTAAGGCACCTCGAGGTGACATAAGAAGCTAAGGACGTTAGGCACCCTATTGCGAGACAAAATAGAGCTTTACCAACTTAGCAGAAAAATACCTTCATCTCTTGAATATTCAAAGGAATAAGGCAGCAAAACTATCTGCTAGAGTATGTGGTGTAAAAAGGCAAAGTAATGGTGCCTTCTACAAAAGCGTCCGAACTAAAGAGCAAAGAGCCCAGAAAACAAAAGTGTTGGGAAGGGAAGGGTTTGGAGCGCGATTTGGGTGCGATCTGGCCTTTCCAGGGACGAGAGGTTGTGAGCAGTCAATGTTACGGTTCAGGTGTGTTATGTTGGTGTCAAGGATGCTGTTGATTGACGTGCACGTGTCACCCTGGGGTTGGTCGGGGGGAAGAGATGGGTGTGTGTGAGTGCAGGTGGGGATGAAGTGTGCCTCACCAGGTTGGTGGTGCACATGCTTGTGAAAAGGGCACCCATTCGTGCCTCACCTGGTTGGCGGTATACATGCTGGTGCAGGTCTTGTTGGCAGATGCCGACACGTTGACTATCAAGCCACGAGGTATGGGCTTGTCACATGCCATGCCCTGTCAAGGCACCATGAAAGAGAACAGCGCAACATCACACCGACTGAATTTTCTGGTGATTGTTGAAGGGGCAATACCGTAAGTCTCTGCCAGCACATGCCATCAGCAGCAAACCCATCTACCGATGTCGAGTTAAGAAAACACGACCAGATTGGCCCTTTGTTTTTTTCCTGTGCTTTTTTTTATAAATACACGTGATCAACACTTGTACTCAACACGGTCGAGTTTTTTTGGGAAAAAAACAACTACGTAACTCAAAGTTTCTGGTCGGGTAGGAACTCGAGTTGGGTAAAAAATCGACTCGCATGCCCATGTGTAAGCGAGGGGTGTTCATCAACACACCTGACCTCATCAGCAAGCTTCACCTTGTTGCTCTCCAGCAGCTCTTGAGGTGAGAGGTCAAAGATGTCGAGCAGCAGAGGGCATGTGAGGCCGGGGGGCGCTGGGAAGAATGGCACTCGAGTAGCAGACTCACTCACTGGTGGACGGGGGGCAGAAAAGGGAGAGAGGCAGAAAGGGGGGTGTGGGGAGAAAGGGAGAGAGGAGAGATAGGCAAGGGGGGCCGGAGGTTAAGAAGCCAGAGCTGAAAGCTTTCGAGCAGAGGGCAAGTGAGGCTGCCGAGCTGGGACGATGGGCCCCACAGGACCAAGGCAGTCATTGGTAGAAGAAGGGGCGTGGGGGGAGCGGGGGGCGGGGGGAGAGTAGAAAGGGTTCCAGCAAAGCGGGTAGAGGGAAATCGCATAAAGTGGGCGGCGACAAGAAGGATGGTACGGTGATGGGCTCCCTAACATAGTGATTAGAGGTGGAACCTAGAGGAGAGAATATGTGTGCGATGGGAGTAGGGATATCATAGGAAGAGCAGCGCTCAATTGAAGCGCCTAGAAAGAAGTAGCCTTACAATTTTGTGTGGAAGGTGCTTTTGAGGAACAAGCCTCTTAGCTGATGTGGGGTGCGAAGTTCAAGGTGAAGACAAGAGGGAGGTAGGGATCAGTGGATTTTTTACGTGCCTAGCTGTGAGCTAGATGACAAGGTGGAGTATAAAGAAGAAATCTCAGGGTTAACATGATGGGCAGGATGGGCGCCTAGAAGCAGAATACACCTTGACCATCCTGGCCTCGCGAACTTAGAGAGACTTACCTTGGTTACTGAGTAGTCGAAGAAACTGAGTCAATGCACACGAGGCCCTCTTGTGCAGTCGATGCACAGGTGTGCATACATAGGAGATAAAATTAACGAAGGATCTCTCGACTGACCAGAGTTACAAAGTATCCTTGCGAGGCTAGTCCAGCAGCACTCGCAACATTGCAGGTGAGTCGGTTTACAAGCAAAATGGGTCATTTATTGTTGCAGGCAACCATCAGAACACATGCCAATTCAGCAGCACAGGTGCGCAAGCAAGTGCTGCTGGTGTAGGCAAAAGACAGGAAACGATGAGAATCTTCCTCACCTCAGGTGTGTTCGAGTCAACTCAGAAATCACATCGATAAAAGCTAGGTTAAAATCTAGGTTAAAAGCTAGGTTAAAAGCTAGGTTAAAAGCTAGGTTAAAATCTAGGTTAAAAGCTAGGTTAAAAGCTAGGTTAAAGTCTAGGTTAAAAGCTAGCTATGAAGTTGAAGTCAGGGTTAACAAACTGGGCGGGCAGAAAGCAGGTAAGGTGATCGCCAACCTTGAGAGGCCATATGATCGCTTCAAGCAGTTGATTGAAGTGATTCAGATGAGTTACAGGGTAATGCTGGGGAGAGGTTAGCCTACCTTGGTTACAGGGTTGCTTGAGGGGGTTAGAGTAGTCGAGGGGGAAGAAGGAGGGCGGGCAGAGGCAGAAGGAGGAGGCATCATAGCCCTCGAGGCACACGCCAGGCGCACACGTGTCAGTGCTGTTAAGGCGACAGATGGGGAACTCTGGACGGACGTTGAAAAGGTGGAGAGGAATTTAGAGAGGTTAGAGGCGATGAGATGGCAAGTGGGAGGAAAATTGTGAGTACTACAGTGAATGGGGTGGGAGGCGATGAAATGGTAAGTGGGGAGTGAAACGGTTAGAAGTGCTGGTTGATTGATTGTGCTGTGCTATGAACGTTGAAGAGTTTTGGATGAGGCAAAATTTGAAGGGGTTGCAGCTGCAATGGCTGAAATGAGAGGGCACGAGCTCGTGTTGATGAGACGTGATTTTAATCAGGATTTACCCCTGTCAATACCCTTGTGCACTATGTGGTGATGGCTGCGTGGACTTACCATTATAACCAGCCAAGCTTACCGTTGAAGCACGTTTGGAAGGCGGGCATTTGGGGGAGCTTGTAGCTGGGCTGGCTGAGAGGGCACGAGCACGTGCTGGTGTATGTGCCTGTGGCTGCTGACCGCACCGCAGTGCACCTGCCAGCACCGCATGGATTCACTTCCCACGCCGTGCATGGGTTGACGTCTGTGTGGCATGGGGAGTGAGGAGAGGAGAGACAAGGAGAGACAAGGAGAGACAAGGAGGATAAGATGATGGACGAAAGGGGAAAAGGGCTGAACAGAGGAGCAAGAAGGGTATGAAAACATTATGATTGGAGTGGAATCACTAGTTGAGTGCTTAGTGGGAATATACGCTTATAGCGTATATACGCGTATCGTATATACGCTAACGTATATACGCTAAACGCTTAAGGGTCGATTTGGTAATACACTTTTTCGGGCAGGTAAAAAACTATCCCGGGCAGGGTGAAAAAAACGTCGTGCTTAAGAAGGTGATCCCTATTCTCATTAAGACTTTCGTAGCATTTCCCTAAGTCTGAACGGCGATTGGGGTGGGATGTGGAGTAGACACTAAAAGGAGAAGTAGGTAGGAATCGGAAGGAGCTCTGCTGTTAGAAAGCGGGAATGCCAACTAGAAATGACGACTGGAATTTTGCTGGCTGGTAAGTAGCATGAGTGGGGTTTGGTGGGGGACGTTTTTGACAGGTTGGAATTCGTAGATAATATGGGTTACAATGCGGTACCAATCTAATGTTCAAATTTGAACTGCCTGCAACTTCGAAGGCCCACTCCCGCTTCCCTAGACCGTCAAATTGCATTGCGACTTAGGCGAAATGCTCAGCAGAAGATTCCGCATCTTTCTGTATACAAGCGATTTTTTTTCCCTGGGCAGCCCGAAAATGTTTCTGATAGCGTATAGCGTATTAGCTAGCGTATTGCGTTTTGCGTACACACGCTAGCGTGTATACGCTATACGCTTTAGGGTTTGAGCGTATATTCCCACTAAGGTTGAGTAAATACATGGATGCATTGTTCCCTCTTAGCGATTCAATTCAAACGGATGCATGAATCTTGTGGTGCAGGCACGATCAGTCACTGATAATGAATTATAATTGCGAGCATATGATCTATGCTGGAAAAAACGCTCAGGGCAAGAAAAGAATCATGTATGTTAGTGTGTATCCTGAAATTCGTGATATGCGGTACGCTCGGTTAGGCAGCGAAACAAATGTGTGTATAAATTGAACAAACCCAAATGTCGACTGCAACTGTATTTCCCCTTACTGTTCTTTTCCAACATAGCATATTCTCACGAATGTGGCACATGGATATTGGGACCAAAGCAAGTGTGCATGTGCACACAGACAAAGATGAACAGATGAACAGATGCATGCTTCTATAGGCGCAGATGCATTCAGGCACACACACCTGAGAAATCACAAGATACATGCTTCAATGGCCCGTACACAGCACATACACTTCGAGCCACAGATGCACACATTCACACACCGACGCGTGGCACTCACCAAACCGTTCATACGAACCTGTGAAACGGAAGGTCCAAGCTTTGATGGACTGAACGCATGCCCACGTGTTGGCACTGCTGAACCCAGCAAACACCGGGATCACTCCCTCGGTGCTGCTATTGCCATCATAGAACACAGAGCACAGGTCAAGAGTCAGCTTCACACTCCCCATCCTCGTAGCTCCTTTATAAGTCACTGCCTCTAGAGTCTTAGTGGCAGCCGTATAGTCCACCCTCATGCTGTATAACGAGGATGAAGTGTATCTCTTTTGAGACGAAAAAGCCAGCCGCCGTGTCACGTTAAAGTCAGTGTGAACGGAGAGGAACGCCACATCCTTGTAAATGGCATAGTTAGGGTCAAGGCCGCTAAAGGCATCAAACATCACCGCCACACTCCTCCCTCCATCCGCCCACGTCCCATTCGCATCCCCTGATGCCAAAATGAGCTCGCCGACTGGACGCTTGTTGTGGACCTGTGCCTCTAAGCAGGGACGCAGCAAGTGACTCCCTATAATAGAGTGTCCCGCTAAGAATAGCGGATGATTGGTTCGCGTGTGGCATGGGTGCGGTGAGAGCGGGCGGCGAATTGCGGAAAGGAGCGAAACTTGCGGTAATGGCAGCATCGCGGCGCGATAGGAAAGGAATATTTTGCGTCCGCGGTTTCAATAACATATTCCATTCCTGTCCGAGAACTTACCACCACCCAGGGCAAAGCCGGCTAGACCAATTCTGGGTCAAAGTTTTCAGGCACTGCCTGAAAAGTTTGACCTGGCAGGTCCGTACGGCTGGAATGGATTCGGGCTCGAACCCTAAACACACTGCACCACGCTTGCATCTCACAAAGACGCATTAAAATGATTTCCACCTCTCTGGATTTTGGAATCTGGCCAGCACAGGCTGTGACTGAGTTGGGTTGTTGCATTGGAATGGGATACAGTAGATGTGATATCTAGTAAGTAAAGCTCGTGGTGGCCTGACGCAGCAGTAAGGTGTATAGTACAGGTACAGCTACGGGAAAGAGGAGAAGGAAGGGGCGAAGAAGTCTTGTTGTCGGGACTGAAAGCAGCCGAAAGGCCCAAACGCATGCCGCAGCGATTGCTAGAGTTTGGTTCGGTTTCGTTGGGTCGGAGATGGGAAATTGAGCGATTTGAGAATCTCCGCCCCAGAGGGATACGGAAAACCATCTGAGATTTCATTTGGTTGGACACCTGCAGTGCCTCCTCCACACCGAAGCACTGCACCGTTCGACGTGCTGTTTGCCACGCTGGCATGTTGACATTGCTGAAGGCAACATTTTCTTTTATTTTGGCAATGCAAGTTACACTATAGCAGCGCAGGCAACATTTTCTGGCTGTCTGCGGAAGGCGAGGGTGTACACTATTGGATGTGTTCGTTAACAGAACAGCCTCGTACAAGGTTTGAGTGTTAGGGAATTTTACCATTTTGGGGTTGCTAAGTGTAAGGAATTTTCCGACATTCCTTAACGCGCATCTCAACATCGCGTACACGACCAACTGTTTCTTCGCGTTATTGCTAACGGTGTTTTGCCGCCTTCGCTCACCACATTTGCCAAACCATGCATTGCTGGACCGGCCGAGTTGGCCTACGCTTCGGGACTAGCCCGGGCCTAGTTAGCTCGCACGCATCGCGTAACCGTTTGCTTGTTTTCGCTATAAATGTTCGCTCAGGCCTTCGCTCACATTTGTACTCATTTGCCAACTTAGTGCAATCCTAGCTACGTCGATACATTGCACCCGTAACACTTGGCTATCAGAGCCACGGCACCTGTTTCTAGGGGCTCATTCTTCACTGGTGAGTCCTGTTTACTCTCCAAAATCCGGCGGCTCGGGAAAAACCCCGCCCACGCCTGGGGATGTACGGGGCGCGGAGGAATCGGGGGACGCGTGGGGCGAAGTCGGCCCTCCAGGATCCCACCAAATTTGGACCTTGCGCGGCCCTGCGTGGCATAGTGAAACCCACCAGGCTGCCACCGAAAACTCCGCGAGCCCCCCAAAACCGAAAGAACCCACGTGGTTCTTACGCGCCAAAGCATGCGCGACTCGGTGGAAACCGGACGCGATTGGTTGTTCAACATTGACAGGTGGAAAATCGCGCTCATGCCCTGCGCGTTCGCGAAACAGTAAGAGCGAGAGGGTCGGTTGCGACTTCGCGAAACGAGTATCGACCTATGTTCGCACAAAAAGAGGTTTGGTAAGCGCGGTGCGAGAACACGTTTGGAAACACCTGGCGCGATTAGACTGGCTCCATGCTGGCTGACACGTGCAGCACTTTGAACGACCTACACAGCTGTCGCTGTGCGGTCGAGACGCGAACGCGGTGCCGTGCGAAGCATGTCTAAGCCGTGACCGGTCATTACATACAGCCTGTCCACATTTACGCTTTTCGCTCGCTAGTTGCACATGAACCTCCTCTCTCTTGTCCCATCAAATTCAGTGGACTTAGACGGAAATCGAAGGTCGCGTGTCGCGGTTACAATAAGGGCCGCGCTTGATGGACCGTGATCGCCATGGTCGCGATGTTTAGGGTTAACCGATAATCACACGCGGGCGTGTGTTTCCACGGTCAGAGTTAGAAGTGCCATAGTCGGAATCGCGTAGAGACATCACAACATGTTGACACACGCGTTACGTAGGAGTAGGGGTAATCTCGGACGATGCATGCATACCGTGAATCGCATCGCGGCGCCAATTCTCCACGACTCCCTTAATGCCACAGGCAACACAGCCGCCCCAGGTAGCGCCGCCGTGCAAAACATGCCCGCGCTAAATCCCACATGGAGCACCCCATACGTGCAGCCTGTAATTTTTGGGGCCCAATGCCCGCGTTCCACCCACAGGAACTTATCAACGGGATCCACCTGGCACCGCGGTCACAGATTCCTCTAGCATCGGCGTCGTTCGCGTTTCAGACCCAACAGGATGATCAGAACACGACTGCAGTATTCACGCCTCATCACGGAACACAGACTCACGGACAACAAACCTCGTCCACGAACGGTCACACAAACCAGCTATTCGGGATGCCTGTTCGTGGCTACGTGGGGCCGCAATACGCGAATTTCGGGTTTAGGTACGGGTACATCGGCGTTCAACCAGACCCCGTGGTGCACACACCCGCAACTGTCGCGACACCTCCTGTCGCGCCCGCGACCCCATTTCCTAACGCGATTCCTCCTGAAATCTCACCACCGGTCCCAGCCTCGCCAGGCACCAGAGAACCATTGTCGAAGAGAAAGGCCCCGCCCTCGCTTGGGCGCAGCCGATCTCGCCGTCGACGAGAAGTTCGCGACGGATTGGTCGACGAAATGGGCTTCTGCAGTTCGACGGAAGTTGCGGTCGAGCAGGCTCTGCTCGACAGAATCTGGTCGACGAGCTCTGCGCGACGAGCTCTGGTCGACGATCTCTGCGCGACGAGCTCCCGTCGAAGGGCGCTGGTCGACGATCCTGGTCGAGGAACTCTGGTCTAGGAGTTCGGGTCGAGGAGCTCTGTTCGGCGAACGTT